TTTTTTTTTACAGCACTCTAATGAAAGAGTAAAAAATAACATGAATGCAGTGAAATTAAATTATGCAATTTTGGTTGTTTTTTTGTTCTGTTTTTTTTTTAAAACAATGAATAAAATCTACTAGGTTCAAAAAATAAAAACAAACAAACAACAACTCAGACTAGTGTAGATATTCCATGTTATGATCTATGCATTTATGCCTCTGGTTTTTAGTAGAATTAAATACATTAGCACTTCTTTACCACTTTAACACAGCTATCATGAATGCATTTTAAGTCATTCTCCAATACAGGCTACATTCTGCATAGAAATCATGGTCATTTATGTTTTCTCTTGGGGGCTACTCTGCACATTGCTAAGGGATTAATGTTTAAAGGATTTACTGTTAAATGCAGAGTTGTTGAAAGCACAGACGGAACGCTGTGCATTCATCAGGCTGAGATGCTGCCTCATGACATTAGTGGTGTCACGTCCCGCTGATATTTTATTCCTACAAAAAGGCAAAACACATAATTCAGCCACAACATAAAAATCTCTGACAGATGAAGTGAATAAAACTGATAGTCTTACATTATTATGATGATTGAGTGAAAAATCTTGGAATACATATAGATGTTGACTAAAACCACCTCCAGAAATATTGGTGCAGATCTCCTGTCCATACTCTGATGTGTTCAGTAGCACAAAGGGGATGTAGGTGGTTTTAATCTTGTAGCTAATCTGTGCATTTTCCACCTGTTGTGAAATGAACAGTGAGTATATGTGTTTTTATCTTCCATATCCCATGGATGCATTAGCCTAACGCAGGCATCCTCTGAATGGATGACAGAGAGATTTAAAAGCAATGATGGAAGAATGTTTTGTTAAGATTAAAATGCATTCTTGAAAGTTTTATTGAGAGATTTTTACATATATAAAACTACATACAGCATAAACGGCTAAACTTCAGGTTTTGTTCTTTTTAGAAATTACACTTAAATTACACATTCACAGCAGCATAATGTCAGAGCATTGTGTAGTGAGGACTTAAAAGCAGGAAAGAGAAGCCAAAAGCACACTGCAGAGATTAAATCCAAAGACCATCACAGAAAAACCTTGGCTGAGAGAAAGAGGGGAACAAAACAGATGTCTGTTTTGTTCCCAAACAAAGGAACCAGGAAAGACTGGGCTATATGAGACCAGACACAGGGAACAAGCTGAAAACCAGCTCCCAGGTTGGATTTGGGGGACAGGCATCCTCTCTACCTCCTCTCGATCAGGCTTAAATCGTTCCCTCTTCATATCTAGTTATTTAGCACATGTAGTCATGGCTGGATCAGGTGGCCCTGAATCCTCACTTACTAACACTGCAGCAGGGCACAACTTCTGGGGGCTTCCCATGATGCACTGTTTCTTCTTCACTCACCTTTTTCACACCTTTCTTCATTTAAAAAATAGTTATTATTAATCTCAGGCTCTCTTCCATAGTATGTCTTTGTTCTGTCTTCTTCCCCTCACCCCCAACTGTTTTCTCTGTCATGCAAGACGTCTGCACCTACCTGAGCCTGGTTATGACGGAGGTTTCTTCCTGTTAAAAGGGAGTTTTTCCTTCCCACTGTCTCCAAAACACTTGCTCATAGAGGTCACCTGATTGTTGGGTTGTTTTTCTGTTTTCTCTATATTATTGTAGGGTATTCATCTTAAAATATAAAGTACCTTTGGGTAATCATTGTTGTGATTTGGTGTTACATAGATAAATCTGATATAAATTTGTAAAAAGTTGAACTGGACAGAGAGGAAGCAAAACTAAGACGGGACAACAGAAATAACGATGTTAGCATATGTAAATATTTAATTCTCAATCCTCGATGCATATTAACAGATGATCATTAAGCACAGGTGGACCAAGGTATACATAAAACAAAGGGAAGCACAAAGAAATATTAAGGAAACTAATGGCAGACATAAACCAGAAACCAAACTTAAAACTCAACACCAGGATATATAAATGAACACAGTAAGAGCATTTCACAGTTGCACAATTGACATGAAATTGAAGGTTGAATTTGAACCTAAAGTCAAAAGTTGAAACACCAGCATGCTATTGCCCATCGTCCACTTTAGTTCCTGTACCGCAGTCTTTTCCTTTTAAGATGATGTAAAATACTGTACACCTGGTCTTGCCCAATAGTTTTCCAGGCTTTCTGCAGGTCTTCCAAAGTTGGACACTTGGAGATTTTTAATAAACCACTTAACTTTGACCAATAAATGACTCAAGCAGAAAAAGGCACCTAACTCATCAGTTGAAGTTTTGTTGTATTGACACATAAAAAAAAACAAAACTTAGCAAAGGTCCAGTACCTTTAGGAACTAGAGATGGCACGATACCAGTTTTTTATGTCCGATACCGATACCGATATCATAAATTTGGATATCTGCCG